CTGGGGTACCTGGTGCTGGCCACTGTCGGCAGACAGGCTACTGGGCTAGATGGACCTTTGGTCTGACCCAGTACGACCATTCTTATGTTCTTATGAAATGCACAGGATCTGCCACTGGCTCTTGTACATTTCAAAGGGGGAGAGGCAGCTGGAACCAGTGCCAGCAAGGACCAAAGTGAAGCAGTCCCCACTGACTGTGGGTTCCTTTCCGTGCTTCTTCCTTTGACATGTACAAGAGCCACCAGCAGCTCCTGTGCATTTCAAATGGAGAGGAGCAGCAGTCAGACTGGCACAAGCAGAACTGTTTCAATTTCCGCTCGTGCCATTTCCCCACTGCCCTCTCTCTCTCCTGCTCCCCAGTGCCTTTCTCCTTCCCCCCCCCCCCCCCCCCCCACACTGCCTCTCTCTGAAAGAGGCAGTAGGGGAGGGGGAAATGACTAGTCAAAAGCTTATTGAGTAGTTGACTAGTTACTTACATCCCGAATGTGCACATTCCGAAAGAGTTGTAATAGAACACCTCATGAAGAAACATCTCAGTATCTACATATGCCCCACATGTAACAGGAACTTACTGACCCAGGTTCAGGACAGGGTCTAAATTGACATCATGATAGTGATTGAACCTCTCCATGTACAAGGGAATGGGTCGTAACTAGGTAACATCAGAGGGTGACCACATGGTACATCAAGAGTAATGTATAACTTGTTTGTGTAGATTGAACCCCTCTAGCCCAGCTCCCTTGGGACCGGACCGGTGCCAAACCAGAGAATTTGCCAGTTAATGGGAGGTCAATATTGTCTAACAGCATTACCAACACTTCCACTGCTTACAGGACTCTTAGAAGACATTTTGGGATAAATCAGAGCTAAATAACAGCATGGAACACTGAGAGCCAGACTTGTGTCTATAACCAAACTTTGAGGTGGCTGGAAACTTGGTCACGCCCATGATAAATGGACATCTGGCTAACTAAAATCATGCCGGACCATGGATGTTGTTGGAGAGTGCGAGACTAGAGAGATTCAACCTGTACCTGTGTGTAAAAAAAAAAAAAATTTACCCCAAGAAAATGTCTTTACTCTGTCCAGGAGAAGTGTTGTGTTCCTGGTGTTGACTGAACTGGTCCATTATCAGGGGACACAGTAGAGTCTACAGACAACTATTACTGTACTTCATTTGACAATAAACCTGAGTTAATACCTTTGATCCTTATCTGATTTTTGTGGCCTTTTGCCAGGGGTCCTCTGGAGTCTGCTGTGTTGACTACTTGCAGAAAGGGGAAAGGGATAGCTCAGTGGCTTGAGCATTGGCCTGCTAAACCCAGGGTTGTGAGTTCAGTTCTTCAGGAGGACATTTAGGGATCTGGGGCAAAATCTGTCAGGGATGGTACTTGGTCCTGCTGGAAAGGCAGGGGACTGGACTCCATGACCTTTCAAGGTCCCTTCCAGTTCTAGGAGATAGGCATCTCCAATTATAAAATAGTCAACATGGCACATTGGTGCAGCATACGTACACAGCCAAATGTTGGTTACTGATGGAGTAAGAGACCTGTCAGGATACCCTATCTGTGACAGCTACAGCTATCTTTGATTTTCTGATGCAAATAAACTCTTACCTAAAATAGATCACAAACAGAATTCTTCAATGCTTATTGGTTTGTCTGCTGAAGCTTGAGTAAAACACCTGTTCTTTTCTGAGCTTACCTACTATTCCTAGTGCTGCTGCTTGCCAGATTCTGAAGATCATTTATCAATATTTGATATAGTGAAGTAAGAACTAATCAAGAGCCTTAGTTTACTTTGAATTTGTTTTTGAGTAAAATTCTCATTTTGGTATGCATATCTTCCAGTAATCCTGCTCAGTTTGAAGTTAGTGGGATTTTTGCCTTGATTTCATTAGGAGCAGGATTGCTTCACTCACGGGCAATATTGTTCCCTGTCTTCAGTGTATGAACTGAATTATGTAACTGAGACCTGATACAACTTACTTTTAGTAGTGAGTTAATATGCTGCACATCTGCTGTAGGGCATGAGTCATCTCCTGTCTATCAACTCAAATTGATGAAAGGGCTTTTCTGCCAGAGAAGTGCTTCTGAAGTTACGACAGGTGGACCTAGTGAAATCTGTTTAAACCATGGTTCTTTGCAGAGCATTATTCTGGCAGTGTCAGCTTCAGCTTTCAAGTTTCCATTTTCATCTGGAAAGCTAACTCTAGTGCCTACTATTTTTAATAGCATCTTAAGCTAGAAAAATGCCCAACTGCCTTTTAAATGACATTAAACATGACAGGTAGGCCCAACAGAAATGGATCCGAAATAGGACACTGCACTACCACTTGTGGCTTTAAGATGCCTACAATATATTTTTCATAAACTTTGGCACATGTATGTTGGAATCAACACTTTAGAAATACAAAATGTGCCTCAAAAAGGGATAGGAATGTACACTGTTCATTTCACCTTGTTTTGGCTGCAATACTGAGTTACTTAGTATTGTTGTCTTATAAGGATAATAAAGCAATGCTAACTATACCTGTAACATTTTTTTCTTTCAGAACTTTTCCTCCAGCTGGAAGTAAGTGTTCATGCGTTG